AAGAAGCCGTGGCTCTCCATCCTCCCGTTGATGTTGGAAGAGCATTGTTCTGGTTATGTTTCCAAGCGAGGAAGACTGGCTGTGAAATGAAATGTAGAATACAATTGCATTTTAGTCTGAAAAAGGTAAGTGCACCCATGAAGAGAAATCAGGATAATATGCCCCAAACCATAGTCATTATGAGAAGAGTAATTCGAAAGACAAAAATCTGTTTTCTTTTTGCACTCCTACGAGTCTGTGAAAAGCCATGTAATATGGTAAAATTGAAACACACCATTTCACCTGCCTGTTTCCTTTGCCGAAACTAGAAGAGAAGGGGTCGCCTCATCAGGGCAGAGGCTGAAGGGCCAGCCCCATGTTGGAGTTTGGAGTTCTGGGCTGTGACTTTCTTCAGTGAATCTTATGCCTGAAAGCCTAAGTTCCCCTGGTACTCAAGCAAACGGCATTTTTCTCTGCCAAAAGCCAGGGTCAGCTGTCTAGTCTCTCTAGCCCCCACACTGAGCTGGCCTAAGGTGGAGAAGCCAATAGAACATACATCTGTAGACAGTTGGCTGTCCTAAAACTCCTGCTTATGGACTGAGAAAGGCATGCCGGCTCCTGCTCCAGGGATCATACCTAGGAATGGCTCTGCAGAGCCCAGGGCCCTTCTGATAACAATGTGAGGGCTAAACTCGGCTTCCCAAGTTCCTGTGTGTGGGGGCACAGGCAGAGAAAACTCAACCCCAGGATCTTGACTCTGGCAGGGAGAATCCCTGGGAGGTGAGAAGAGATGCTAGCCCAGGAGTCAGACGGGTAGGGCCCCTGCTAGTGGGGGGTCCATAGAAAGTGGTGAGTCCTGGTCAGAGAGCAGGAGCTTGCACTTGGATAGTTAGGCTGCATTGATTCACACCACTCCTCTTTTTAATATACTCATACAGCAGTGGGTTTGCTTATGACTGCAGGAGAAAATTATTATTTTTTATAATACGTTTTTTTTTTTCAGTTTTTTGAGACAGATTTTTGTGAAGCCCAGACTGGGCCCGGAAGTTACAATGTAGCCAAGGATGATCTTGAACTCCCCCTCAGGAGCGCAGGGGTTACAGAGGCATACCATCCCCCCACTTTATGTAGTGTGGGGGCCCTGTCTTCGTTTCTCTCCTGGGACTATACACCTGACAAGAAGGAAATTAAATGAGAAACGGTTACTCCTGGCTCACGGTTCAAGGGCACCATTCCATCATGCTGCAGAAGACACGGCAGCTGGCCCAAGAGGCTGAGTGGGTCATAGGGCATCTGTATTCAGGGAGTAGATCACACACAGGAAGTGGGATTGGCCGACATAGAATCTCAAGACCCAGTGAGATACTCCCTCCGGCGAAACTCCACCTCCTAAAGGTTCCACAGCCTTCCAAATAACACCACTAACTCGAGACTGTGCTCAAACACATGGGCTTCTGGTGGACATTTCTCATTCAAAACACACCAGGGTGGAGTGTAGGGCCAATTGCAAGCCCAGCAAGCATTATACCAATAGAGCCACACCCATAACCTGATAATTCTTCAGAATGCCAGACATTCTTGACATGCTCTGACTTTCAGGTCAAGGCAGAGAGGTGAGTTTGCAGGCAGTCAAGGGCTTCTTCATGCCAGTGGGCCTCCTTGATTCCCCTTGAGAGTGGCGCCCACTCCCAAGCATCACTCAAGGCTACTTGGTGCTTTGCTCAACTGATCTGATCATGGCCAACGAAGTTCTGTGAGATTCTTTGGAAGTGAACAGATGTCAGTAGACCAGAGTGTGATGAGATATAGACCAGCAGAGAAGAGGTGATGGCTGTGTAGGCTTCCTGGGTACTGACTGTTCTGAGTGCTGAAGGCAATGGGGCAGGAAAGCTCTCTTCTGTAGCAAGAGGGGCTGAGGGGTGAAGAAATGAGAGGCTCGGGCCAAAGGGATGGATGCTTCAGCCGGTAAAGGTAGCTGACACCAAGCCTCACAACCCAAGTTTGTTGCCCAAGACCCATGTGGTAGAAGGAAAGAAACGCCTCCAGTAAGTTGTCCTCTGACTTCCACACCTGTGTGCCTCTGAGGACCCACCCCCCTCCCACGTAATAAATATAAATAAGTAAATAGTAAAAATAAGCTTGTCACCTGTGTCGAGAATGGCAGCTGGGTCAGAGATGGCTGGATTTTAGCTGCTCTTCAATTTGGCTGGTATGGGTGCGAAGCCTGGCAGGTCCCAGGAGACGGCTCCCACCATGGTCCTCAGGTTCTACCCAGTTTTCTCGGTCTATTGCTGCACCTGTCCCATGCCCACAGCTGGTTCCAGGCATTTAAGATAGTTGATGGTAATTGTCGATATGGCTTTCTGGGAGTTGAGTATGTGTCTTGTAATTAGGGGCGTTTAGAATTCTGTGACCAGGTTTTTGCATTGTTTTTTTCTCCTCACTTTTTCTTTTTTTGCACCGTTCCTCAGGGAACAACGATGAGAAAGACCTAAAGAAGTGTCACAAACACAGTGTTAGGAATGAGCCCGGCAGTGATTTCCAACCTTCCAGACAGATGCACAGAGATGCATCTGAGGACTGGGGATGGAGAATTTTCTTTTTACTAGTCTGAAAGTTCCGGTGTTAGAGCTGGGCTGTTTCTCTCCCCCGCCCCCCAATCTTCTGCTGGTTTGAGAGATTTATATTTTTTCTTCTAATAAAATGGCCTGCCATTTAGAGCTGCATGTTTTTGCATGTGAGAAGAACATATTCATTTAGCTCATCTGTCCCCAGGGCTTTGTTCCTTTCTTTAGGGACCAGGGCCCGGCACCCTTGTGAAGTTAGGCTGGTGCTTTTCTGCCTCTTCTGAATCATTTAGACTTTATCTTTAATATGTATTCAGATGCTGATCTTTTCAGAAATTCAGAAAGGGCTTTTGCCTTCCCCAGCACCATTCCTGGCATCTCAGAATGCGGAATGGAGCACTCCCAGCTAAAGTGAGAGTCCCCGGTTCTGCGTGGAATGTTCTTATGCTCTGTACCATCGTTGGCGGTGACTGTCGATCATGCTTTCTGGGTGTTTCCCATGTGTCTTTTAATCAGGACTTGTAGAACTCTGTGGCCAAGACTTTTAATATTCTTCCTCCTCTTACTCTCATTTAGAGGGAGCAATGGAAAAAAAACACAAAGAGTTGGACTTGGTGCTAATCGTTACAAATGCCTAGGTCGGCAAGTCTTTATGAGACACCGGTGTCAAGGCTACGAGAGGCTATCTCATGGCATGCCAACATGTAACCTCAGTGTTTCTCCCTGGCAACAAAAGCAGTTTCTCCGCCATATAAACCAGCCTTATTGGGGTGGAGGGAACATACAGTTACATCTGAGACTATTTCATCAGTGTCTAGAAGTAACAAATGAGTCCAAGACCCCAAATGTGCATTTGGTTGGGGATCCCATCCTCCAGCGCTGTGGCAGCCAGACGCGTTTCCGTGCAGGTGGGCCTGACCTCACCTGGTTCTGGCTGCAGGGGACCTGGACTGCTGCAACCAGAATTACCATCCCTGCTGCTGCAAGGCTAAAGCTGATGAGCCAACTTCTCCATCTGAAGAGGGACCATCCTCTGGCCAGCCCTCGTGGCTGGCCTTGTACCCTCTTCCTCTTTCCTGCCTCTCACCCCTCCCTCTACCCCACCCACAAGGATGGAAGCTATCCTCTTCTGTGTTGGTATATTTTTAAAGAAACTAGCCCTTCCTAAAACAGGAGTTGTGAGCCGGTCTGCCAATGCCAGGAAAACAGCTTTCTCGGCACGGCAGGTTTTGGATATCTGGAGTGACGGAGCTGGCATTGTTTGTAGAAGGTTAAGTAAGATTAATGAGGAAAGAGAGGAAAGCCCTAAAAGGATCAGCCTTTCCAATCAATGAGAGAATGCATTTAACGTGGGCTCCACCTGCAGTTTCTTTGGCGTGTGTGTCCTGATGCCAATTTGAAAGGTTTTGCCTTTAATGCTTGTAAGTAACCTACCAAGAAAGACCAGTGTGTGCTGGGGGTCTAGCCGTGCCCGATTTAAGCCTTATCCTGCAGCCCATGTATTGATCAGGAGGCATTTGTAGAAGATGGAGGCGTGTTTTAATAAGAGCCGGAGAGCGGGCGCTCTCCTCCTTATTCCCAGGACTTTAAATTATGAATTGCCACTTCAGCATCTTATTCGGCAGAGGAGAGAAGAGGGGGTGGGCAGTTTCACCGCGATAGAGTAATAGACACAAAATGAGAAGGTTAGGGTCTACCGAGTGACCCAGTCACGGAACCTGAGAGGCTCTCCAGAGTGGTGCTGAAGGGACTTTGGAAAAAGCAAAAAAGCAGGTTTGCTTTTAGCTTTTCAGGGAGTTGTGTGCTGAAGACCATGTAACTCCCATTTTTGGGGGGTGGGGATGGGGATTGATATGAGGCCAGTGTCGTGGAGCTGGTTTGCGGTCACCTGAAGAGGAGCCCCTGCTTTCTGCTTCCTGCTGGACATTTGAATAGCAGGCTTGACGAAGCCACTTAACTCCTTCCAATTACAGGGGCCAACTGGGCATACATAAGAGGGGTGAGGGTGGCTTTCTGGTGTGCGAGCAGGTTCACGGGCCAGTGTCGTAATCAGATTCCAGAAACTGAACTTGCGGAAAGTTTGTGCTAGCCTTGTGGATTTTCATTTCAGATGTTGTCAACTCAAGGGCATTTGGGCCAATCAATATCTGCCTGTCTTCTCGCACATAGAAAGTTGGCTATTAGAAAAGAGAGGCTTACAGCAGGCTCAGCCAATACCATTAGCCCTAGCCTAAGGGCAGTTCTGTCCATGTGCCCGGATAGGCACCTGCCCCCTCCCCTCCCCCACCATTAGAGAGGCCACTTGGGATGTCATTTGGACAGAGCGGGCAAAGAGCACTTCTTTCTTCTTTCTCTTTTTTACACCCAGACTCCCCCAAAATCAATAAATCTGTTCTTTGCTTATTTTCAGAACTTTACTTCAATATAAGCAAGGACTTCCCTTCCAGCAACAAACTCCAGTAACACCATGTCAGGCTTATGTGTGTGTGTGTTTGCTTTTTCTGTTCCAATTTGAAAAATAATTGGAAATAATATCTGATTGATGTTCTCACCCCCTTCTTTCTTTTTAGCTAAAAGATTTCCTAGATGAAAGACCTTGATCCATCGCCTTTCAGGATTCAGGACTTGGTTTTCTGTTCCAGGCAGTCTTTTCTGTTCCGAATGGTTTCGCGAAATGGAGGAGGTGAGCTATTGTTTTCCTAAGCGGAGGGAACTCTGTGCAAATTGGCTCCTTGTCTGCTGCGCCAATTGCGAGTTCCTGATGTTTTCTCTGAGATTGTGTCTTTTAGGGGAACAAGAAGAGCTCTCTGGCTCAGACAAAATCCCGGAGCAGTTAGGATACCAGGAGAGGAAGGAAGAATAGTGAATTGGTTAGTGAGCATTCAGACTGTCTCCTGGTGGAGTTTAAACTTTTGCTCAGATTGGCATGCTATTTCTCTCTGCCATTGTTCCTTTCTTTCGTTGCCTTAGTTTTTGCTCTTGTTAGAAGGAAATAATGCAGTGAGATTGGTGTGGACTGTTGCAAAGGCCTGAGGAAAATGGGAAGAAGAGGCGCTCTCAGTCATTCTAGGGGGGACACTAAGCCAAATTGGATCCAGCTGTTGGTACAAAAAGGTGCAACCAGGGCTGTGTTAGTGCCAGGGCTATGTAATAAAAAGAGATGTAAAGTCTTTGGAACTCAAAAGAGAACTACAGGAAGAAACAATTGGACCCAGGCAGAGATCAAACTTTGAGAAAGGCTAAGGTACCAGCAACATACCCAAGAAAGGATAAATGCGATCTCAGAAACAGGGATGGGGGGATTAACGTGTAGTTCTGTGATCTAAAAATCCAGCCTTTTCTAGAGTGACCCAATACAGAATCAGTGTGTCTCTGCGGGAAATAGCATCAGAATTTAGTATTCCTCACAAAGAGTGGAGAAGCAAGGAATCCAAGCGGGCATGCCAGTCCAAGCCAGCCCCCTCTAAAACCACTCATTCTCAGGCGGAAAGAGTGTCCTCTGAGGTAAAGACATCTGTTGGCAGACAGCAGGAAAGATGGGGAATTCCCTTCCGTTCCTGAGAGAGCACAGTGTTCAGCTCTTTCTCTAAATGTGACTCAGGATGGCTTCCTCCCTGACAGTTGCTGCGGAGATAGTATAGTCTGGCTTCCTGGCACACAGTCTCTCTTTATGTCATTGTGATTAGCAAGGGTAATTTTCTGGCATGGTTCCGGAATGGTCCATAAGGGGTTTTCATGTCTGAAAGCAGAGGAGAGCTCAAGGTGAGATGTCCTGCCACAGCAGAGAAGACAGAATTTGACTGTGAAAACGAGAACTGCAGCCTTAGAGCGTCGGGTTGGGAACCAGGACTGCCTGGGCCCGGGGGCAGGCCTGGCAAGGTTGTTCTTGACTCTGCCACGTGGGGCCTGGCCAACGGGGCCCACAGGACCTAGAGGACTAGAAGACACTGCTCTTCTGGACAAAGCTTTTACTCCTTGGGGCTGGGCTAAGCAGAAGTCTGCTTTGGTTGAGACTATGGGTCTTTCTTTTGAGGTTGCCATTGTCACATGCAATCTAATTGCACAGGTGCCTAGCTCTCTGACAAAGCAGCAAGTGGCTTGTGGGCTGAGATGTCTCATTGGCAAGAGTACACTTGCTGCGCGAGCATGACAAACGAGTCCTGATTCCAGGATGCTTATGAGAAGCTGGATATGGCTGCATGTGTGCCTGTCACCTCAGGGTGATTGTCAGGAGTAGAGAAAGGAGGATCACTGAGCTTACTGGCCACCAACCCAGTCCTGGGACTTAGTGAGCCATCTCCAGAAGATATGGTAGACAGTAACAGAACAGGACAACTGATGTCCTTCTCTGGTCTTCTGGTGAGCTCATGGACATGTGTGCTTGCAGACACACATATCTGTGCAACTGACACCTCCCCCCCCGTGCCTTTTGCATATCCAGAACCTTTCAGAATGCCACCAGGCAGAGGTGTCACTCACATACATAAAGCCAAGTGGCTCACTGAACAATGGACTTTCCCTATAGAGGAAGCAGAGCGATGATTCACACCCTGCTGGGAAAATGGAGTACAATGCACAGCAGGATGTGAACCTCTTACTCTTTGAACATTAAGTGGTGCTCCTCTGTTGCTGTCCTAGCTCCAAGCCTGGAATTATGGACCATAGTCCAAACTCCTCCCCATCATTTCCTCTGGCTTAGGAAGGGGATAAAACTTAGGCTGGTCTGATTCCAGCTGGGATTGGACTTTGAGATACAGCCTGGCTAGAAAAAGTAGATCACTGGGATTGGGATGGGACTTGAAGTCTCTTAGTCCAGACCTGGACCTTCTTCCTGTTTGGTCTCTTCTTCCCTAGTGTCCATGCAATGGGACCAACAGCTTCATGTTCCTGTTGCTATGCCTTTCCTGCCTCCACAGATAGTATCCATTCTTTCTTAGTGATTCCGACTTAAGCAATTTATTCCAACTGAAGTTGGAATCACCCCATCTCCACCCCTTAAACAGCTTGCCAGGCGTTTGGTCTAAGCATGGACAGAAGCAACTAACAGAACATTCAGTTCTGTTTTGGTTGGTGGTACCCAGAGTTTTGGTGATGAGACGTTCTAGAGATTCTGAAAAGGACTCACACTCCAAGTATTATTCCTGAAGGAAGAGACTTCTGTGGCACAGAGGACAAAGAATTCTGCTGCTAATGTGTGATCTTTCCTCCGCAACCCAGAGAGCCCAGGGCATTCAGGGTGTTATGTACTTCGAAAACCATGCCATCTCTAAACAATGCGAGCAGGGGTCTGTTCAGTATAATATTTAGAGAACTGCTTCCTCTGGGGACACACACACACACACACACACACGCACACACACACACACACACACACACGTTCATGTGACTCTTTGCAGATAAAACATATACCAATTAGTAATTTTTCAATTCTTCTTGCCATGCTTTATATCCATGAAGACATGAAAACATGTTACTCGAATCTCCACCAGTGTGCTTAGAGGCGCCCTAGCTTGTGAGCAATGTGGACTGCCTTGCAACAGTCGTGTTACTGAATTCTTACTACTTGAGGCATCTGGATAGCCACTATGGCGTCTAGACGACACAACCGGAAGCTGAGAGCCGATAGTTTTGGGTCTCACCTCTTTCTTACAGTTAGATTGTTTTGCGAATTAAGTTCTCTGAAAGTCTACTTTTCCTTCTCTGGTATCTGAAGCTGGGCCACAAAACTAAAAGGTTTTTAAGTTTAAAAACAGAATCCCATCTGAGATGCCTACAGAAGTCAGTTTCTAGTCAACCCCCAGGAGCTGTGTGGAGTGGCTCTATTTACATCCTTGTTCTCAACACTCCTTTCCTAGTAAGTACAGCCCCTTTCTCATTCTAGACCCTTCTCAGATTCTGATTGTTAGATGGCATCCCCTTTCCCTCATTCTGTACCCGGAAAACCCCAGATCTCTAATGGTCAATCACGGTTTACCACTTGAGCAGCCTCAGGGCTGCCCAGAAATGAGTTCCTGGTCCCCATTAGACCTGCAGAATCCTGCTTAGAGTTTGGACCAGAGGTTTCAAAAGGACATAATACTTTCTCTCAGGTATGTGCACATGTACATATGATGGTATACACGCAAAGGCCTGGAGTTGAGGTCAGGTATCTTTATTGTTCTCCATTTTATATTTTGCGGTGGGGCCTCTCGCTGATTTGGCCAGGCTGACTAGCCACTTCTTCCTGGAACCCCTGTCTCTGCCTCCCAACACACTGGAATCCCAGGAGGGTCACTGCATGCCAGACTTTTCTCTGGGTTGTGATCACTTGGGCTCTGGTCCTCATGCTTGAGAGGCAAGCGCTTCTCCCACCGGGACACAGGAAAAAATTTCTAACAAAATCCTATGAGTCTCTCCTTTTATGCTGTGCTAGGGTTTGAGCCCAGTGCTTCCTTCCCACCAGTCAAGTACTCTACCACCGATCCACACTGCCAGTTTGGTTCCACCTTTTAAGATGTAAAGATATGTAGGCTGTAGACGTTTGTTCATTTGCACCGAGATGGAATTTTTGTGTGACACGCTTGTCTTGTGCTCTCGAGTCAGACTCAGCAGGGAGACGGCACCAGTAACAGAGCCTGGGAGGAAGGCTTGACAAAGCGCACAGAAGAAGCGGGACAGGAGCACAAGCGAGCATTTTTTTGCTCTAACATTGTAACAACCACCCCTGCTTTGGGCACCATGGTTTCCATGCTGTCCAAATCTTGTATGCTTTCTCTGAAAGATCTGTTTCACTTTGAGATAGCTGTAGCGCTGCAGTGAGAAGGGACAGTAAGCCCCTGTGCAGTGTGCTCCGTGCACCAATTGCATTGATGATTGTCTTTTCTCAGCATCAGGGTGTTGCTCCATGCAGCTGGCTGGCTTTCTTCAGGCTCGCCGTGTTCACATTCTCTTTCTTGTGTTTGTGCTTAGTTCTCAGCCCCTTTGTACATTTGTGTGTACCTATGTGTAGCACTGTCACCGCGTAGGACAGGTCCATCACGGGGACCTCCTGACACCTCATGAAATAAAATATTTAAGCATTTTTGTTGTGTTCTTGTGATTTGTCACTACTTAGAGAGTTGGGGTTTTTTCTCTTCCAATGAACAAGGAAAGAAAGCTGTATTTCACACTTCAACAGTTGCCTTCCAGCTGCCTCCCCGATTGCCCGTGAATTCCCATTTGGCTCTTCAGATGGGAAACAGGGATCCAAACACAGGAAGAACTTACATTTTGTTTACTCTGTGCCAACCTTCCCTTCTGCTGCTCACCTTCCTGAGAGTTTTAGAGTGCCAGCAACTCTCCCTCATCCCTTCAGCATGGTCCTCTTCACCGTATTCCTCATCCCCTCAGCATAGTCCTCCTCACCGTATCCCTCACCCCTTCAGCATAGTCCTCTTCACCGTATCCCTCATCCCCTCAGCATAGTCCTCCTCACCGTATCCCTCACCCCTTCAGCATAGTCCTCCTCACCGTATCCCTCACCCCTTCAGCATAGTCCTCCTCACCGTATCCCTCACCCCTTCAGCATAGTCCTCTTCACCATATCCCTCATCCCTTCAACAGAGTCCTCCTCACCGTATCCCTCATTCTTTCAGCATAGTCCTCTTCCTCATATCCCTCATCCCTTCAGCATAGTCCTCCTCACCATATCCCTCACCCCTTCAG